GGAAGGGAAAGGAACGGAAGGGAAGCAAGTTCGGAAGGGAAGGGAAGGAAATAAAGAAATAAGCAAAACAAATGTGAACAGGGCAACAAAGAAAGCACGGAAGGGCGAAAGAAAGAAGGAACAAAAGAACTGGGGCCAGGGCTCTCTGCGTGACCTTGCGAGACACGCAAAACACTCAGAATGTCAGCCCAGATACGGCACACGCACGACCCGCTCGTGCCGCAAGTATCATTCAAGATAATATCTAGGTGCACGTTGGGGGCGTGCCCCAGCCAAAATATTCCCTTCAAACTAAAACGGCGCGCGCCTGTGGAAGTGTGGAAAGTCCCAACCCTCTTCAAGCTGGAAGTGCCAACCTGTGGACGCTTCTTCGGCACGTCCGGGTTCCACATTTCCGGGGTGGAGGGGGGGTGGAAAACGCCCCCCACACTGCTGGCTAGATCGGAGGTTAGGCTTCGGACTGGCATCGGCATGGTGGGCGTCATGGACATCGCCTGCACGGCCGTCTTGGAGGTCGAAATGGGGAAAATCCAACGGAGCTCCAGGAGCCAAAGGCCGAAGCACGTGGTTTTTTTTTAGTTTTTTCTGATTCGTTTTGGGTTTTTTCTGTTTTTTTTTCTGATTTCTTTTGGTTTTTTGTTTTTTTTTTTTCTGTTTTTTTTTTTTCTGACAGCTCGCAACTTGAGCTCCAGTATCTCGAAGGCAAGTCCAGGCCGGTCTCCGGATCCTGCCAAGCTCCTTGGTCCGACAGACTGAAGGTGTTTCTCTGAGAACATCTGGCATTCTTGGGACGCGCCCAGGCCTGGCCAGCACCTGCGCGGCATGGGGCACGGCTGCTTGTGACCATGTTGGGGAGACAAAGGTCCCAGAGGTTGCACGCACTGAGAGGTTTTCATAAAATTGCTTCGGAGGGTGGGAATGGGTCCGTTTGTTTCTTCTTTGGTTTTTTTAGAGGAAAGCCAATTGAAGCCAAGGGATGGTAAAACGCTGACTTCAGGATGCGGCTGAAACCGCCCTTGCCCCCAAAGCTTGAGAAATCCTTCAACACCAACCCCAAAGGAGGAACAGCCATTCTTGGAATCCGTATGGACCCTGGATTTTCCATTGGAAAGCCCAGGTACGTGCCTGTCAGGGAAGCACTCCAATCGGCCCGAACTCCAGCGTACCCAGTTGAAACAAATGCCCCATCCAGAAAGCATCCAGCACACACCCGCTCCACATCGCAACTACAATGGGCTCTCCTGGGAGAACGCCTCATGGTTGGATCCCCGACAAAATCCTACAAAAAGAGTTCCCGAAAAGAGAAAACAGAAACGATGGACCCTTTGGATGCACTCCAAATACCTGCCGCTTTCCATTCACCTGGCGACCCATTCCCAGCATTGCGAAGCTCTGCAGGTTTGATGAATGTAGGGTTTTGCTCAAATGGGGACCTCTGGTGACGCGCGGTTTACTTTTTGCTTTGCCTGCCAGGGGCCAACCAACCAAACACGGAACATCGAACCTTCCTCGGGTTTGCCTTTTTGTCAGATTCTATGTCCGTAGTTGGCCCTGAGCCAACCCAGAACCTAGGGTTTTGGGTTTCAAGATGTGGGTATGGGTCAAAAGAATAAAAAACCACCAGGAATTGGACCGCAGGTTTGAGTCCCGGGTTACACATTTACCAGGGCCACATGTTGGAAATTGAGTTTCTGAACCACAAGCCAGGTTCTCGGGTTCTCGTCGCCGCTGGAGTGCTTTTCGGCTCGGGACGCCCTGCCTGCGCCAAAGCCTGCCTGCCCCCCCATTGCCTGGGCCGGATGCCATTGGAGCAGCGCCCAAATCCACTGATTTTGGGCTCCACCAAGCTGGCACAAAGGATTGCACGTGTATGTGTGTATATGCATATATAGATATATATAATATGTGTATGTACATATATACATAGATACATATACATATATAAGCCTTCCTACAAATCCTGTTCAGCCAGGTAGTAGAAGCTTCTGCTGAAACTAGCGCAGTGCTCACATTGGGCATCCACCGTCAATGCAGTTTTGACATTCACGCAGTATGAATTCCCCGAGTAGGGAACCACATTTTCCTGTGGTGACTTGGTGAATGCACCCAACATCATCTCCTCTGCTACAGTGCATGACGGTACGCAATGTGTGTTGCTCGCACAACGGACAACTTCGCATCATTTGCTTACCTGTCATGAACCGTCAAACAAGCCCTGCAACTTTCGGAACAAAGCATTGCAAACGCAGTGAACATCCTGGCATGTTCGCCGATCCTGGGTTCGCGGCGGCCAACTCTTCTCGGGTCAGCACCTCGACACACTCCGAACGACCCCAGCGCCAATCTCCTCAGCCCGAAAACTGTTGTTCCTAAAAAGATGATGTTGAAACCTGAAGTTGATTTCCTGGTAGTAGGGCATCCTGCCCAGTCGGCATCCACATGAACGTCGAGATCCAGGATGTTGTTGGTGTTTGCTCTGAGTGTTGTCGGCCCGCTCAAAAAAGACCCCTCTCTGACGCAACCACGAGACCGAAAACCTCGAGCGGCGTAGAGGTGGCTTCCCAGGTTCCTCGGAGTTCCTCGGCCACCCGGCGCCGTCCCCGTTCTTATCCAGCGCGGAGAAGAGGTCGCTCCTTCAGGCTTCCCTTCGGGTCCAGAGGGTTCCTGCTCTCCTTTTGACTTCTTGGTTTCCTGGTTTCCCTCTGGCCTCCTGTCGTCCTTTTGATTTTCTGGTCTTCCTTGGTCTCCTTTTGGTTTCCCATCAATTCCATTCAAAACAAATGTCTGATTCATGCATTGGACGGGATCCCAACACCACCACCCCAAGCCTCATGCAGGCATTCAGATGAACTTTTCTGCCAAAGCGTCGCAGAAAAAACTTGTCATGGCGCTCTTCAGCGATGGGAAAGCTAACACTGAAATTAAAGACACGCAAAGCCAGGCCAAGCAGTGAGAGCCAAGTTGGTTGTTTTCAAACGCCAGTGTTCCGTACTTTGGGTGGTGGGCGACCGTTTTCCAAAAAAATGTGTTGCTGTGTTGGTTTTCAAAGAGAAAAACCAAAAAACACTCGCTCGGCTGGGGGCAAAACCATCAATGAACCTTCGGCGAAAACAACACGGGTCAAACAACTTCCCTCAGCCCTGTGCAAATCAGCTGCTGGCCCTCGCAATCGCCCCCTCAAAGCCAAAAAGGAGCCCTTAGATGTTTTTCTTAGGTGAGAAAAATCGCCCTTTGATGCAGCTCTCGAAGGGAATATACAGTGGCCAAAATACCAGACTCGGCAGGAACTCTTTCCCTGAAGAGCGTCCGTTGAAAACCATCCTAAGTGGTTTGCACTTAGACACACTAATACCAGTCATACAACAAGCGCATTGAAACCCCGAGCCGCCCACGATCTTCCCGAGCGCCATTCTTGACCCCCGGCCTCTGAGTCACAGCCTGAAACAGAACATCGCGCCGAACGGTGAGCGAAGCGAAACATGGGCTCTTTTGGAACTCCTGCATCCTTTTAGAAGGCAACCAAAGCGGGCTCCTTTAAAAAAAAAAAAAGAAAAAAATGTCTGTATGTCTGTATGTATATATATATATATCCACGTGCGCCGACCAAGCGAGAGAGAGAGAGAGAGCGACATAGCAGCAGAGGCATCGTATCCTGGAACTGAATGCAAGTCACAAAAACAAAGCTGTCAACACATCCCAAACAAGAAATGCTGGATCCATGCCAACGCTTTTCAATTATGATGCTGGAAGTGAATGACCGGATGCAATGCCGCACGAAAATTGGTGCGCGAGGAATGGTCTTTGGTCTTTGGTAGAACAGGGGCAACTTCTTGAGGTCGAAAAAGACTCACCAAAAAAAAAAGAAAACACTCTCTCATACCCACGGGCCACGTGGAAACATACCACAACACCCAAACATTTTCACCACAGGCCTCCGGCGGTTAAGAGTGAGGGCTTTCTAAGCTCCAAAAACAAATAGAAGCGGTTCCCACGGCTCCAATTTTGTTGGGCCAAAACCTACGGCTCCAAAACGAATCGCGGCCTCCACTGCTTCGGGCGAGAAAAAACAGAAAAAAAAGTCCGCTGCGGAGCTGCCCGAGCTGCAGGCTGGCATGCCCACAGCCTCGAGATCGGGGGACCCGAAGAAGGTTTGGGGCCAAGGACTATGGTCCAACCTCCTGTGTTCCGTGAAACAATTCACTATGACTTGGTGCGACAAGGGAATCAAAAAATGAACCCAGAAATGTCCCCTTCAAGGAAACCACAAGGATACATTGTAGGGGTAATTTGATTTATCATTTCCTACTTATCGCACCAGCAAGATGATGGTTCAGTATCCTGACGATGTGGATGACCAGCCCTGTTAACCCCAAGGGAACCGGGTCCACTGGATTCCTGTGGCCGCCGAAGCGAGAGAGCGCGGGCGTCAAAATCGTCGTGAACCACAGAGTTCTACTGACCCCCAGACCAAATCCCAAAGAAGAAATACGACAGTTAAGCCATATTTAGAGCTTATTTACTCTCATTTCTCCATGTCTGGCTTGTCCTCAAGGGGTATGTTCCGGGGTCTGGCGGCACATCCTTTAAGTGAAAGCAGTAGCACTCCAGGTTCTAACCCAAGGCCAGACTCAAAATGGCCGAGCCCGAAGGGATCCGAGCTGTAGGTCTGCCTTGCTTGAAAAGAATGGAACTCTCGCCATGGTACTGTTCGGATTCTGGAATCGGAAAAACACGAGATCCAATTTAACCCCGGACCGGCGAGCTACCCCTCTGCCTCAGGGCCTCAGGGCAGGGCTCTGAGAGCCTGGGGTGCGGGCCATGCCGCGCTTGTGCCCGCACTTGCGGCAGAAGGCCGCCTCGGCTGGTCCGAGGCTACGGGAGTTGGAAACCCTCGAACCCCTTGGTCAAGGAAGCACCCGCCGACCCAAAAAAAACGTGGACTCCAAGGTCGCGGCATCCTGCAGGTAGGTGTTGCCACAGGAAGGGCACTGGCTCTCCATGGCCTGCCAAACAGCTCGGTGCGGCCCCGGCAGCTGATTCTGTTTCATCTGCGTCCAAGGGATGTGCATCGGTGGTCTGGGGGCGTTCACTAACAAGGGCGGCGTTCCAATTCGTGCCCTTGCCGGTTCCTAGCATGAAAGGAAACATGGATCGCACATAGGTGAGTTTGACCCGAACTTGATGCATGGTTGAGTCCCTTTTTGTGACGCAACACAAACACAAACGCGCGATCACAAGGGTTCGGCTTCTGTTTTGGTATAACCCATGACAAACAATGAGACATTGCATTTTTGGGGCGGGGCATTACATGTGTTATTCTGTTGTTTGGATAGCCCATGACAACAAAATGCAACCTGTTTCCTGTTTGATTAGAGAGCATTGGCACCTTTGCCGAAACGCTACATCACGGTGTAAGAAGTCAACGTGTGTAGTGGGATGCAGGACATATGCAGACCCTGGGCTAGTTGAGATGCTCCTCTTGGATACGCATGTCTGAAGCTCCAACAGCATCTCACCCATCCTTTGAAGAACACCAGTCATCGAGCGAAGAAAAAGGGTCGCGTAAAATGCATTGACTGGGGAAAGGACTGGCTCCAGGTTGAACAAGAAACCAATCCGCAAAACCACCATCATACGGAAACATGCCGGGGAAGACAGCCACAGCTGACATGCCAGTCGCCTGCAGGGCGCTTCTAGCAAGTTTCAGCTCTTGCGGGGAGGCCGTTTTAAAACAACTAAAACAGGGAACCGAGCCTCCAAAAAAACACACACTGAATGAACAAACCCACCAAAAAACCACTGACAACGCTGACTCCATGCGCGTGGATCCCGAGCCTTCGACCCTCTCGGCTTGAGCCGAGGTCAACAGCTATCGCTGGAGCAGAAACGGCACGGCCGAAGCTCCATGCGCCCCGATCTCACGGAATTTGGGTGAAACAAAAATGCTGACCTTGAGTGTGCTGTATGTCCCTGAACACAGTCGCCAATAAAAACCAGCTCTTTGGTGAACAGAACGCGCGCATGAGGCTTCTGATCAGATCGGAGAAAGGGTTTGGAAAGATATCTGGAATCCGCCGGCCTTTATGTTGGACCGCCAAGCGGCGCGAGGGCCACGCGTTGGTTGGCTTTTTGTTTGAACCGAGCGACCGTTGCGATCACGCCAGTCCGCTGTTTCAGCACAAAGGGACAAAACGAGAAAAAACCGAAGAGAAAACGAACACCAACCAAACAAAACCCAACAGAAAACAAAACAACCACAAAATCAAAAAAATTCGGCAGAAGAGGGATTTGCCAGCAAGACAATTTTGCCAAAACTGCGTGTCACATGAGATCAGTGAACTTTAAGAACTTCTTAGGCACCGAAAAAACGTTGTGAGTGAGTGGCATGGTTTATCTACCGTCCACATGGTAAGCCAGTTTGCTTCCTTCTGTGTTGAAACTGAAATTCAGGTTGGACACTTGTTTGCCGCCAATTGCGGGCCCTCCGTTTTGCAGTCGGCGAAGATGGCGCCAAATGATCACTTGAGATTTCCAGCGGGTAATGCTGGGGAAAACGGTCCCTTACAGTGAAGAGCACGTTTGAAGAAAGGAATCAAAACCGGGAGACCGCCGGGTGAGCTCCAAACAGCAGGTGGCACCGACGTCCTCCTGTGTGAGCCGGTGGCGGAGGCTGTATCACAACCGGAGCACGCTGTAAAGCCAACTCAACAGCGTGGGCAACTAGAAGGACGGACCTCTGCCTTGTGGCTTTCTGCGGTTGCGGCAACTCCCGCTGGCAAGTGTCACAAGCATAATTCAAAATGGCCCAATTTACAAAAGATTTCGTTATTCTGGTGGTCAGGAAAAGCGGAAATCAGTGGCCGGACTAGCAGGTTAGTAACGACCGCTGTACCTCCGGAAGGTCACTTCTATCGTGGGTGCAATGCCCACAGGGTGGGCTGGCTAGGTATCTAAGTTTCACGGCGCGCAAGAAATTGGTTGCAATTTCGTAGAAACTGGTTTCCGTGAAGGCCCAAATGCCTTGTTAATGCACAGGTCCACCCATTCGCCAGTCTTGTCAAAAAGTTCTGTAACATTGGCTGTGCCCACATGCAGTGTGGTGGGGTCTGCTCATCAACTTGGGTTGTGGAATGCATCAGATTAGCTTGTGATTTGAAAAGTCACCAAAATGACTGTGAAGGATTGGATTGGCTTGTTCGTTTTTGGATTGGCTTGTGAGAGGGATCAGATTGGCTTGGGAGGAGCATTAGATTGACTTGTGAGCATCAGATTGGCTTGTGAGAGGGGTCAGATTGACTTGTTATGGCTTTGGCAGTTTCGAGCATCAGATTGACTTGTTAGTTGTAAACCTAAAAACCATCATTCGTCATTCATCATCATCATCATCGTCATCATCATCATCATCATCATCATCATCCTTCATCAATCAATCATTGACCATTCATCATCCAGCATCAGCAGCATCATCATCATCATCGTCCTCGTCGTCCATCATCCATCATAGATCATCGATCATCTAAAACCATCGTCACCATCATCCATCACCCATCATCATCATCATCATCGTCGTCGTTACCCAACAGCGATCATCCTCATCGCCGTCGTCGTCATCATCCATCATCACCATCCACGTCATCCATCATCGTCATCATCATGTCGTCGCATCTTCATCATCACCATCGTCGTCTTAGCTAATTTCTTACACACCTGCGCTCGGCGCGATGATAAGCAGCCTGCCACGGGTGCTCGTCATGATCGCAATCACCCATCAGCATTATCACCCATCATCCGTCATCAAGATCATCCTCACCATCGTCATCGTCATTTTCATCATTATCTATCATCATCCTCATCATCTCATCACCAACGTTCATCATCATCCATCATCACCATCATGGCGATCATCAGCATCATCATCATCACCATCATGGCGATCTTCCGTCCTCGCCATCATCGTCACGGTCATCGCATCATCGGCGTCATGTCCCTTACCCCGTATCTTATATACGCTACGACTGCGCAGTCAGGCAACGCTCGGCCTGCAAAGGATGCTATGATGACAGTCGTCGTGGCATGGATGATCATCATGATCATCACCTTCATCACGCATCATCATCATCATCATCATGGCCAGCATCATCATGATCCATCCTCATTGTTATCATGAACCATCATCGCGCATCATCATCATCCATCACCACCATCATCATCATCGACATTGTAGTCTTAGCCTCTATCTTCCGTCCGTTTCAAGTTTGCTGTTAGGCAGCGCTCGGCACGCAGAGGATGCTACGACGATAGTCGCCATGGCGCGGAGGATCATCATCATCATCGCCTTCGTCATCCATCATCGTCATCGTCCGTCATCATGATCACAATCAAAACCATGCATCATCATCATCCTCATCATCACCATCATCGTCACCTGTCATCATCGTCCATCATCAGCATCCTTCATGATCCTCCTTCATCATCAGCATCCATCACCGTCATCCATCACAAGCGTCCTTCGTGAGCCTCCATCATCATCATCGTCGCTCGCATCGTTCTCATCATCCGCATCGTCTTCCATCGTAATGCACCATCATCATCCATCATCATCCATCATCATCAACCTGTCAATCTTCATAGTGACAATGTCGAGCGAATGGCGGCTCTTTTCCTGTGGCGGTGCATGTTCATCATGCTTTCATCATGCTTTGCATGCGGATATGACTGAACACAAGAACAATCCTCACATGCTGCCTTCATATCCGCTGCACTTGAGACACCTGTGCACCTGTCTCCCACTCTTGTAGTGGGGACACTTCTCGTGCGTGTGATACACGTTGCCTGTTAGCAACATCCGGACCGGATTGGTCCTCGTTCTCCTCCTTGACTCCACTCGCCCTGATCACGTTGGCGAATGCCACCACCAATGCCATGCGGTACTCATCCTTCAAGCCGCTGAGAATCTTTTGCGCCCTTGTCGCTCAGCATCTTGCGCTCGATGTCGCGGAACTCGTCCTTTCCGAGCTCGCGGTTGTCGTCGTCGACCATGCCCGTCATGAACATCAATCCTCTCATCCTGTTAAGGCATGTTCACTGCTCCTAGCTTGAACCCAAACATGAAACCCCAAAAGAACAAAGCTCATCCGAAGCGGCCGCAGTTCTTTTTACCGGGATTGCTGAAAGTAGCACTGCTTCCAGGGCACTGGTGCGCCTGGAACAGGAGGCCCCCCGAAATTTGAAAAGGCGAGACAATGGTCCTTGCATACAAATGCAGCGCTTGCGGGGCGCGGCATGCGTGCCCACGCCCAAGGTCCGGAGACCGAAAAGTCCGTGAGACTCGAGGTCCGGAGACCAAAGTTGGCCCGGAGACCTGGTCCAGAGACCAAAAGGCCCGGAGGCCACCCATAAAAGTGCAGAGCGTCTGCTACCTACTTGCAGAGCCTTGTATAGGGCAGTGCAGGGTGGGTGGGTGGGTTTCAAATGAAACCGCAGGTTTGGGTCAAGGCTAGCAAAACGGCCAACGCGTAGTTCGATTCACAACACGCCCTGAACACAAGGGAAAAGAACCCTAAGCGTTAAGGCATGTTGCACTGCTCCTAGCTTGAACCCAAACATGAAACCCCAAAAGAACAAAGCTCATCCGAAGCGGCCGCAGTTCTTTTTACCGGGATTGCTGAAAGTAGCACTGCTTCCAGGGCACTGGTGCGCCTGGAACAGGAGGCGCATTGACCTCCGCTTCAGTGTTTCAGCACCCGCCCTTCAGAGTGGGGTTGTACCTGGCAGGGCAAATGCTATCGTGGCCATGCACGCTGGGCTGTGAGCAGCCTGTGCTGCTGCCAAACGCTCCGGGCGCCGCGCATGCATTGGACCAGCTGAATGCCTCGGCCTGACATCGCTAGGCTGCAGGGCTAAAGCGCATGCGACTTTCTGGGCGATGGCTGAATCGGGCCAACCGACCTCTGCTGAGATCGTCTGCCCAATCATTGCACCTTCCTGGAACGTGCGTCGG